TTTGAATCCAAGTCTGCAGTGGGGACAGACGTGAATTTTCCTCCTGTGGGACTTTCATACACTGTGTGTCACTGCTAACAGAGCTACATCAGAGGACACGACATATATAGCAAGATATCACAGATTTGTAAATGTGTCTCATTTCTTTTTATCTTTCTTTCTAAGTGGGAGAAATGACAAGACAGGACATGCAGTGTGTGATGGGGGTGGTTAGTCATCGCATGGCAATGTAACAATGAAAATGTGGATGAAAAGATCCCAATAAAAGGAGAGAGATATGCAGAGGAGAGTGACTCAGAAACACCACTGTGGTACAAATAGATGGAAGCTACACACAAAAAAAAAAAAGATAAAAAGTCGGAGATTCACATATTTCATCCTGATTGCTCGGAAACAGAATGTGATCTGACGCCATCTGCTGGATGGAAGCACAATTTTTTTCTGCCGAACAAAGGATAGTATAAATCTGAAAGTGTGTAACAGCCATACAACAATTATCGGTCTATGTATCTATTCTGTATATGCAACATGTATTATAACCAACCGTGACGTACTCTGTCAGTTAGAATCCCGGAAGTTGCACAGAGAGCTGTTGCCATATAATCTCACCTGACACCATTGCCATGGAAATGTACAACGAGCTTCCATCCATCACGGTGACATGTTCCGAGAGATTCTCTCGTCTTTTATATTAGAACTCTTGGGTCAACGTCTATAATGTTTTAAAGACCATGAACTTCCTTAAGAAAGGAAGGAGACAGAAACGCAGTTGGAGAGAGAAGGAGTAAGTGTTCAGAGAGCAAAAAACAAAAAAAAGAGAGAAGAGTTATGCGAATTATATGAGATTTGTTAAAAACTTCCTTGAGATTATTAAAATTGTTAAACTGATATTGGCATTATATTTTATTTAGAATTTAAATTAGATAGCAAAAAGCACAAAAATGAGCTTATAGGCAATAACAAGAACTACAGGTCAAACCAGCTAGTGGAGTTAAAAGGACTTTACCAGCAGAACACTTTTAAACTGAATTTACCCTCTTTACCCTTTTAATGCACAACCCACTAGCTCAATCCAGTGGGTGATGCTAACATCATGCGTTATCTAGTCTCCATTTTTGTATCGAGATTGGACAGGATGTATGTGCACAAGTCTTCACCTAATACATTGTTCTTCCTTGCACCACTTTTGGTAGGTACTAACCACTGCATGCCGGTAACACCCACAAGACTTCCTGTTTTGGAGATGCTCTGACTCTTATCTTGCCATCCCTATTTGGCCCTTGTGAAAGTAACACATCTTTTCACTTGACCATTTTCCCTAATTCCAACACATGAAATTCAAGAATGGACTATTCACTTACTGATATGTATATATATATTGTTACGAGATCAAAAGCAGTGATGAAGAGATAAGCTCCTTGCACACTTATCTAAGTAGCTATTCCCTTTAAAATGTTTGTCATTTTTTGTTACAGTCTAACAAAAGGAAGGTAGAAATATTGAGAGAAATGGCTAAATATGTCCAATAGCACCAATATCATCTTGTGTCTTACAATATTAAACCTTTCTTCCTAATCTTTATGCATTGAATTCAACGTAATCGTAACAACCCCTGGATGTTGGGCTACGGTAACAACCCCAGGACGTACTTGAAAACCAGAGTAATCTGAATGTACCTTTCCTGGTTAAATACTTTGTTATTATTGGTATTTCTCATAGGGACAAGTAAATGCAAATCATCTATACTGTTCCCAGATAGACATGAGTGTTCCCCTTTGACACTAAAGTAAAAGGTATATTCAATTCCAGATGACCAGTTTTGATATCTTGCTCTATCAAGGCATCCCCCAGTATGCATATGCACTTTAAAGGGACACTGCAGGCATTATAACAACTTCAGCTTATTGAAGTTGTTATATTGGCTTCAGTCACCCCTGAGTCCTAACCCCCAAAACCTTTTCTCTTAATAATTAGAAGGCTTGGAAGGTTGGCTTCAAGCAATGCCTCAAGCCTTCTGCGCATAAGAACTGGGTCTGTTATTTCCTGGCTCTCATACCAAAACATCCCGTATTTATTTTTATTATATTTTAGTAAAAAAAAAAACCAACTCCAAAACCGATGGAGTGTGCAAAGATCAAAAGTGCTTAAGTGTGAAAAATAATAAACAGCAGCTCAACCACTTGTGTGGAAGAACCTCTGTCCCACACACCATGTACAAGAAAATATATAAAATGGTATAAGTCAAGGAACCTAAAGCGCTAAATATAATATAGGGTTTGCTGATCTTTAAAATCTTGTTATATGTAAAAATAAAAAATAAAAAAAAACACAAAATAAAACACAAAACAAAATATAGTGCAAATGCTTATAAAACATACATAGAAAGAAGTCAGACCACTTACAAGTAATATAGGCTCTGTTACATGTGAGTGGTCTGACTTCTTTCTATGTATATTTTATACGCATGAAGCTACCACCTGCACTATATTTTGGGGGGTTTTTTTTGGGGGGGGGGAGGAAGGGCGTTGGATATACTTCTACATACACTGAACAAAATTTTAAACGCAACACTTTTGTTTTTGCCCCCATTTTTCATGAGCTGAACTCAAAGATCTAAGACTTTTTCTATGTACACAAAAGACCTATTTCTCACAAATATTGTTCACAAATCTGTCTAAATCTGTGTTAGTGAGCACTTCTACTTTGCCGAGATAATCCATCCACCTCACAGGTGTGGCATATCAAGATGCTGATTAGACAATGATTACTGCAAAGGTGTGCCTTAGGCTGGCCACAATAAATGGCCACTCTAAAGTGTGCAGTTTTATCACAAAGCACGATGCCACAGATGTTGCAAGTATTGAGGGAGCGTGCAATTGGCATGCTGACTGCAGGAATGTCCACCAGAATGCCCATGAATTGAATGTTCATTTCTCAACCATAAGCAGTCTCCAAAGGACCTCCACATCCAGCATCTTCACCTCCAAGATCGTCGGAGACCAGCCACCCTGACAACTGCTGCAACAAATTGGTTTGCATAACCAAAGAATGTCTGCACAAAGTGTCAGAAACCATCTCAGGGAAACTCATCTGCATGCTAGTCGTCATCGCGGTCTTGACCCAACTGCAGTTCGTCGTTGTAACCGACTTGAGTGGGCAAATAAATTTTATGGCGTCTGGCACTTTGGAGAGGTGTTCTCTTCACGGATGAATCCCAGTTTTCACTGTACAGGGCAGATGGCAGACAGAGTGTACGGTGTGTGGGTGATGTCAATGCTGTGGATTGAGTGGCCCATGGTGGCGGTGGGGTTATAGTATGGGCAGGCATATGTTATGGACAAAGAACACAGGTGCATTTTATTCATGGCATTTTGAATGCAGAGATAACATGATGAGATCCTGAGGCCCATTGTTGTGCCACTCATCCACGACCATCAACTCATGTAGTCATACTTTGAAATTCAAATTTTAAACAATACGGTGATTCATGAATAGCGGTGTGCCCTGGTATTCTAATTCGAGTGTGTAGATGCAGTGGTGCATTAGTGTGGAATGTTATAATGCATCTATGCAGGTGTGTTTGTGAATTGCGTTTACCCTTACACATCATTCCCTTTGTACCCATTCTCCCATGTGGCCCCTTGCATTTATCTCCACCCTCTGTCCATTTATTCATCCCAAACGAGTTTACCTGTGGCCATATCACTCAGTTGTTGCCCTCTGTTTATACTTCCATCCCTCCTTTTGACCCAAACTCAAATTCCATTTTACACCCCTTACCTTTTCTTTTGCCAGAGCAGCAGTGGCATTGGCCAGAATGAAAGCACGCTCCAATATGGAGCTGGGTGTTGTGTGTGGCAGAATTCTGCCCTCTTGCCCTCTAAGAACCCATCACTACATGGCCTCGTTCAATCACTCACCATTTCAGAAAAGTGTATTCAGTAAACTCAAAACTGTAGTGCAAATGGCAAGTTTCAGACTAATATTGGCCAAGCTTTGACAATAGGAGAGTTGGTGAATTTCTCCTTAGTTTTCCATTGTCAGAATTTTGCCATTTATAATTTTACAGTTAGCATTAGAAAGATTGGCACGCAGATTGTGACAGCTTTAGAGAGCCTGACAGATTGAAAGAGGTAGGCAGACAAAATAGTTTGAGAAGATAGATGGACAGTGAAAAGCAGAATAAGAGAAATGGACTGATTGAGATAGGCAAACAGATCAGAATGACAGAGAGACAGACAGTGACTGACAGATTAAGAGTAAATTTCAAATTTAAGGCCTGATAACACAAAGTAAACCCATACATGATTAAGAGAATTTTTCAGTTCAGCTATTTTACCTTAAAATAGAAGTTTACTTTGAGTTCTCACTTTAGTAAAGAATACTGAGAAGAGAAAGTAATGATGAGCTTGGAAAAGACAAATAAGAACAGAGAACATTTAAACAAGAAGATGAGAAAGACAGGTCAAGTGAGAGAGATTTGAAAGTCAGACTCATGGTATGTGGGGTTTATTAAACCATAATGCAGCTATCTGTATAATCTTCCCTTGAAGGATTTGATGGGGCAGCCAGGAAGAGTCCTGGACGTGGGAATAGGATGCATATTTGGAAGTTCAGAGTGCAGGAGCAGGCTGTTGCAGGCCATTAATCCAGCCTGCTGACCAATAAAGGACACAAAACAAAGGGAAAATGGGTTAATCGACAAGTCTGTGGCAGCGTAAATTGAGCAGCAGACAATGGAAGCCAAACGTCCCTCTAAATCCTCAAATAGGTCTCAATCTTTAATAGGTCCTCGGTACAGTATATATAGGGAAGACAAAACAGAAAGAAGAAAGTCCAACGGAGTATGATGGAAATCAAATAATTGTAGTTAAGAAAAAGTAGCCCCACACATTTAGCAGAGCTTATGTGAACTCCCCTTTTCCACTGAATCCTTCCCAGTGATCAAACACTAAATAAGCAGACAGATTTCCTTTTTGGAATGTAATATTTTATTTTATGTTCTTTATTTTTAAATTCCAATAAAACACTGAGCGCAGCAGATCATGAATATATATATATATATATATATATATTTATATATATGTAGTATAACAGATATATAAAATCTGGAAAACAGAGCAGAAATACATAGATGCAGGCTTGGCCTGCCATTATGAAACCCACAAAGACTATTATTGCCAGCTAGGCACCAAATTTAAACACACAATATTGATTTTTATTTCCTTAGCACATAGCATTGGAAAGAAAAGAAAAGAAAAAAATATATATCCCCATTTCCAACCCATGTTTCATGCAAAAACAAAATAAAATAGAGTATATATTAAAACAGTTAATTACAAAATACACTTTATCATTTGTTTTTAAAAACCGATTTATCCTTCACTCCCGTTTCACGAGAAAGGCATTTACTCGAGGTAATCCAATTTTGGGGCTACATATAATGTGGGACCAGTTTCGTACACTCAAGTTCAGAAATAAAGAGGTATAAGCTCTTCTCCTTTACTGAGGACACCGATCTAAAGCATGTTTTTTCCTTTACAGACAATTTGCGTATTGTACAGGAAAACCTGCATACTAACTGGAATTTCAAACTATATTCTCTCAATTTCTTCAGATTTAGACAACAGTGCAAGTGCGTACATAGCAATCACCTGTAAATATAATGCATACAGTGTGCGATTTACAGATATAACATGTTATAAATATTTCATTATAAGAGCCAGTTAACTGTACTTCAATTTAATAAACATCTAGAAAAAAATATGAAGAGTATAAGGTTTGCCGACAAGAGAAGCTACAGACACAAGCTGTATTGCAGTTAGCTTTAGATCCTATTTATGATCTAAGGATCAACATTATCATCATATATTTTGACAAGTATTGTCCTTCCCTCCTTCACATTGCCATCAACGCTCTTTGTGGTGGAGGTTTAATAAAAAATTAAAAATAAAAGTTCTTCACACAGTTGAATTTATCATGAGAAAGAAAAAAGAAAAATTGAAATCGAGTTTATGAGGGCAACAAAATATGTACTATAAATCGCGCAGCCATATCACCTACCAACCAGAAAACTGGTCAAATCTAAAATTAGATGCTCAATATAGTGGCAATATAACAAAAACAAACCCTATTTATACGGGATAGGACAGGATTTTTAAAGCCTGCTGACACAATGCAGCCATGCTTCCCCTAGTATGGTTACCTGGCAACTACATTTTCAACTTTTTGCATTACTTTACTAGATGAGGGACCAAGATGAATAGGTACATACTGTAGTTGTAAGTTGACTCAAATACTTCAATTTCCACAAATGTATTTGTATGATAAAGAGAATTTATAAAAGAGAGGTGGGAAAATGGTTCAAAGCCAGGCCTACAAATGGGGTAGCTGCTTATTTTTTTTAGTCTCTACAGCCATGCAAATAACAAAGGTTAAGGAATCAAACAAAAGGGAGAAAATACATCTTCGCTATATATTTGCAAATTAATTATATTATGAGAATTAAAAAAAATACAAACCCCCCCCCTAAATCACAATGAATGATGGGACCAATACTTGATTAATTTTGCTATCACAACAGGTCTTTTTAGGTGTCCCAGTGCATCTAAGAAGATTAAAGAGAGAATAAGGAGAGATTGATTTGGAGAGAGGGGGGGGGAAGAGAATAAGGAGAGATTGGGAGGGGGGGTAAGGAGAGATTGGGAGGGGGGAAGGAAATTGGAGAGGGGGATAAAGAAAGAAATTGGGAGGGAAGGAAATTGAGGGGGGATAAAGAACGATTGGGAGAGGGGGGGATAAAGAAAGAAATTGGGAGGGGAGAAGGAGGGAAATTGAGGGGGGAGAGAAGGAAATTGAGGGGGGGGAGAGAAGGAAATTGGAGGGGGGGAGAGAAGGAAATTGAGGGGGGGGAGAGAAGGAAATTGGAGGAGGGGAGAGAAGGAAATTGGAGGGGGGGGAGAGAAGGAAATTGAGGGGGGGAGAGAAGGAAATTGAGGGGGGGAGAGAAGGAAATTGAGTGGGAGAGAAGGAAATTGAGGGGGGAGAGAGAAGGAAATTGGAGGGGGGGAGAGAGAGATTGACATTCATCACACACAATGCACCCCTTGCACACAGAAACACACACAATGCATTACACACACTGACACACAGACACAAGCAATGCAACCGTTACACACAATGCATCCCTTACACACACACACACACTCAATGCATCCCGTACATACACAGAAATACACCTTGCAGCCCTTACACATCCAAACACAGATTCACACAATGCATTCCTTACACACATATCAGGACATCCCCTACACACTCCACCCCCCTGTGAACAAACTCCTTGATGGAACATGAAGGTGGACCCTGGGACCCAGACCTTGAGCTGTGTAAAGGGCCCCCCAAAAAATGGAACTGCTTCCAGTTCTCCCAGAACATTGATTTTTGTGACCACAGTTACAAGCCGCCTCCAGAGAGCCTGTTCTACACCAGACCAGTTGAGCCAGACTGCAGCTAGAGCCCATCATCATCCTCATCTGGTTGTAAGTAGGCAATCTAGTATATTATTCGTGGCACTAATCTCTAATTTACCTCACATTAAAGAAACACTATAGTCCCCAGAACCACTGCAGCTTAATGTAGTGGTTCCGGTGTCCATAGCCTGTCCCTGCAGGCCTTTTAATGTAAACATGGCAGCACTGGCGTTCGATAACATGGCAAATCATATGGGTGGGGCGGCAAACTTTACTTTTGCCAAGGGCGGCAAAAATCCTTGCACCGGCCCTGGCTGGAGGGGGCTGTGTGAGCTGTGGCCGCACAGTGCCCCATGGTAGTTCGGGTGCCGTGCGGCCAGTACAGCTCACACAAGCAAACAGCTGATAAACTGGCCGCACGGAGGAAAGGTGGGGCGGAGCTAAGCAAAATCAGAGGTGGAGCCAAACTGGCCCTGGGAGGAGGGGGAAGGGCAAGGGTGCCAAATGCTCTAGGTACGCCCCTGCTTCCAGGTGCAAAAAAAAATTTTTAAAAAAAAGCCCAACCACTGGGCACCATTACAGTGACTGCCTGGTGAAAGAATTTGAGCATAAGGTTCAGGGAGTCCACTGTTACAATAAGCCACTGCTAGCAAACAACAGTGAATTCTCACAACCAGTAGAGTGGTCCATGACATACTTACTTGGAATGAAATGCACTAACCAGTGGCTAGTGGGCACATGACAATTTTGTGCCCCGATTCAAAATCACAATTGCATCTATACATGTATAAATGCTAAATACAAACTTATCAAACACCGATTTATGACAATTATATACACAGTGCTTGTAAGTTGCTCATTCTGCTGTAATTGGGAGCTACTATCTTCACTAACAGCCATGATTTCAGATATAGGGGTGTGTCAGTTATCATTGCCAGCCAACATGAAATTATTCTGATGCAGGCACTGGTTATACATTTGAACATTCCTCTATTCGTTTTTATACAGGATAAAATAATTAAGCTATCCATGTAATAATAGTTTGACGTTTAGGATGATCAAAAAGAACATCCTCCAGACAGCTTGTGTGCAAGCAAATCTATACCTGCCTGACAAAAACACTTTAAAGAGATTTTTTTTTTTTTACATAATATTGTATGATGTAATTCAACTAAAAGCTAAACATGATTTAAAAAGTCCAAAAAGATAAAAAATATATTGTAAGAATACCATCGTAAGCTTCCCATGGTATTACAACAAAAAGGAGCATATACTTTAACTAAACTAGACCTGGGAGGACTATTCAGAATTTGGGGTCCTATCCCAGGGAAACCAGATATTAAGTATACAGTAAGCACAATTTAGGGCAGGTTTAACCTTTCTTTCAGGTGTAAAACACCCCTCTAAAAGAGCCAGACATGTCACAGTACTTGTCAGCCCACCCATGCCCTGATTCCAATGTTGACAGTTATGAAGAAGCAGTACTATGCAGCATATCACTAACTATACAATGGAAACGTGTGTAGCACCCTTTAGGAAATAAAATTTAATAAGAAGGCTAATAGATTGTTAGAATGAAAGTTTGCAGTTCAATTAGGGTTTCTTTATTGATCTTCCACAGACAAACAGCTAAAAACACACAATACCACTTATTGTAATGATTATGGTGCCAAGAAGCTATGAGCACAGTCCTTCATTATTGTCAAACATTTCTCATTAAAAAAACACAAAAACATTCCAAAACAGATGAATCTCCAGTGCCAATACCCAGCTAAAACAAGGTTTGCACAAGTTACTAGTTATGAAATACCTAACAAATCATCTGTCATAAATGGTGTGAAAACAAAACAAAACAAACCTTTAAAAATAAGACAGCTCCCCAAAAAAACGAACAAAAAACAACTATAAATGCTTGCTGCGGCCATGCTCCAGTATACATAAAGAAAGCAAAGGGAAACATACAACAACATTTTAATAGAATATTTTGCTACACGTGTTTTGGGTAAGTCATCTTATGTATTTTACAATCCTTTGTTAAGATAACCATACAACTGTTTTTCAACAAAGAATGTTGTTTGCCACTGCAAAATACAGAGTGATAACTGGAAAAAAATTGCTTGCTCTGCAAAATTAGGAGGGGAAAGTGCTTGTAAGTTGCTCATTCTGCTGTAATTGGGAGCTGTCATTTTTAGTATGTGTTATGACAAGCCTTAAACTAAACGGTCCGAGTCAAATGTGATTTGACCTTAAAAAAAAAAAAAAGAAAAAAGAAAAGAAAAGAAAAGAAAAGAGAGAGAGAAAAGGCATGGTAGGTAAAATTGGAAAAAGTTATAGCAATGTATGTAGCTATATAACCATAACATGAAGAAGGAAAAAGGAGAGGAGGAGGAGGAGGAGATTTCCCCCTCTAAATTAGACTTTTAGATATAAAATCATATTGTGCCTTTTAGGAGGTGTGCTAAAGGACAATACTATACATGTAAAATGTCTAGTTGCCTAGGTAATATATTTAGAGACTACACACAAAATTAGACATGCATCAAAAGTACAGAGTCCATTATCCTAACACTTCATCATCAATGCCAATAACAATGGCAGATTGGATAGGTCTAGGCAGAATCCCCCAGGCTATAATTAAACTTTATTCTTCATAATTGCACAAGAACATGCAATCTCATTTAGGCTGGATTTGAAATAGCAATGAAAGAGGTAACAGGAAATTCAAACACTACAGTTTTTACAAGTTTTAAACATGCAAAAGCTTCAAAGTAAATACCACAGATATTCAAGAATACAATTACTGGCAGCTGAATAAATAAATGCATTACTATGACATGTTTTCAAATCAAGCCTTTTATGTTAAAATTTCTTTAAAAAGTGCAGGTTGCAACTGTTCTACTCCACAGAATATGGTCATTTGGAAGTATATGACAAATATATAGCAAAATGATATTCTAAAAGGGGAAAGCCACAGAAGTTACACTTTAATACATGTGCAAAACATGATCCTCTGAATAATCAAGTGGACGGACAAATAAGTGCAATATAGTATTAAAATAAGGACCGTCATGTCATGAAATTAAAGTGGACTTGTTTTTGCAGATGCTACATTTCATCGTAAAAAAAAAATTAAAAAAAAAAGGTATGTGTAATATATACATACATATTCTTTAAGCATTTTCAATACTTTTCCTAGAACTCCACAATACCCAAAAGGTGTTTTTTTTATTTTTTTAAACAATATAACGCCGCATTAAAAGGAACACTCCTCTGTCCAAATTTAAAAAAAAAAGTAAATTTTTTAAAATAACTGTTTAGTAGATATAGCCCAAATAAAACTTGCAAGCATTTAATTATGTTTTTTTTTTCTCAATCTAAAAATAACCTTGCAAAACCTGAAGTTCTCTTGTCTGCTGCCTTTGCAAACACTTACCTTCTAACCCCGACAAGAATTTCTGTGTCCAATCACAGACTTCCCAATACAGCTCAGAGAAGAGAAGACTTTGCAAGGCAGGTACTCTTTGCAATTGCTGCATCTTGAGTTTAGCTCCATTGAGTTAATGAAACCAGAAACAGTACGTCTGCTTGAAAGCCAAGGGGGGTGTCACCAGGTTAAATTATATTTTAAAAAAAGTCAGTTTCTATTGAAATCTAAACCTTTTGCTAAATGAGATCAAGAGGACACACTTCACACAAAGCTTTTGAGCAAGCTAAAGTGCTTTTAAGGGTCTGGAGTGTACCTTTAACTGCGTCCCTCCCAGGTGGATGTTTATTCTGATAACATACAGAGCATTAAAAGCCAAAAAACCAAAAGGTTTATGGCAGTTCAAACAAATGTATTTTAAATACCACTGAACACCACAATGCAACTGGTACAAAAGGGCAACAAGCTGTGCCAGTTTAACTTCAAATATTGAAATATTGGTAATAAAATTATTGTACAAGTCACGAAGCTGGAATTTTGTAACAGATCTCTAGATGTGTATTATAGAAGAGCGGTGTTTTTCCGAGTTCAGGAATCTTACCATAACACTAATTTTTGCGTGTCACAAGAACCAAAATCAATTTAAATACAGATTTAAAAAAAAAAAAAAAAAAAAAAAAAAACACAACAGCAGTTGCCTTGCTCTGAACAGGATTGCTAGCACCTCTTATAGCTACTTTTTGCACAATACCTCCAAAAGAAGAGACATCAAGCGAAAATAACACTCACTATAGCACCAAGACGACCAGTGGGGCCTCAATAACAACCCCCTGACAAAATAACAAAAAACAAAAAACACAGAAGATAGACTTGCAGGTATCCCTGTTAAGTGTCTCCGTTGATAGACTACATTTACACAGACAATGCACTGAAGCACAGTAATCATCTTCGATATATAGAAATATTTATATATACACATTTATTAGCACCAAATGTCTGAACTGCCGATAAGACGACACAGGATGCACTAAAGAGCAGTGGCAAGTCTGTGAATAAAAGCAGATCTTATCAAGTAAGGCACCTTTCCTGTGACACCCTACAAGAAGCTCCCATTCGAAAACATAAAGGACATATAAATAGTTGTTAGCACCGGTGAAACTAAGAATAGCAGAGGCCTGAGGAACAACATCGGAGGCCTTTCACTTTTTTTTTTCAAAAAACAAAAAAAAAAAAAAACAACACACTACTGTATATAATTGGTGCATCCAATCTGACAAGTGTAAAATCTCTGTCTGAAGAGAAATCACATTATTGTTTACAAAGTAGCCACCCCCTCCCACTAAAACAAAAATGCAGTTTTGGAATTCATGGGTAAAATCTATCAGGATTAACACATCCTACACACACAAAAAAAAAAATATAAAAAAGAATATATATAGATAAACTCAAACAAAACAATTTTCAATTGATTACATTCAAAAGCTCCTCAAAATTCATGTTACAGGGTCTAATTAAAAAGGGCTCAATAATAATGGATGTGATAATTGGCTTGCTCAGTCTGCCCTTTAAAGTGGGATGGTACCTAAGGACATTTTAACACAACAGATTAACTTCTTGAGCTGTGCTTTTATTGTACTAAAAAAAAAAAAAATTCAAATTCAGTATTTCACGTTTTCTCCCCCTTAGAAATGTTGTCTTTACACGCCATTTCGGAAAATATATATATATTTTTTTGGATAAAAAAAAAAAATACAAAATACAAAAAAATAAAACAAAAAACACATTTACTCCTGAACTACCGTGCACGCTTACTGCACTACTAAAGGAATGCTAGAGTTTACATGTACATGGTAGTATGCCCTTTCTTTAAAGATGTCCAACCATTAGACAATGTAGCTTTAAAAAAAAAAAAAAAAAATGAAGTGTCTTGCCACAAAGGGAAAACATTTTTTACTTACCTCAAATGCATGATTTACTCACACCACTTAAACACATTTCTTTGGATAAGGTAACAAGAAACTATCACCATCAGAAAAGTGATAGTCTGGTTTGAGCTTTCTTTTTCTCACTTTTTTGTTGGGCACCATCTTGTGCCCCACAGATAGTACAGCTTGTAATATATTTGTTGGATTGAATTGGCAATTTAGATTCAAACTAAGGGAATTTGTAATTTAAATATTTATTTTTAATATTAAATTTACAAACGGTTGTGGGGGCATGATAGACCAAATATCTATACTCAAATTAGGAGTGTTTTGTAAGTAACTGACAAATTCTGGATTTCTTCAATTTTAAGTTATTTTTGCTGCCTCGCTGTTACACAATAATCAAGATAAATATATTAATATTGCACAAATCGTGCAATTAACTCAGCAGACTGAGCAGGCCAAGCCAAACCTTTATATTCTGTCAACGTTAGAGAAGAAGATGAGAGAGAAAGAAAAAAGGAAGGGGGTGGTGGGGGGGGGGGAGAGAGGAGGAATAAAATAAAGCACCACTGCATACATATACACAAATCATTGTATCTGATAAAGGGGGAAAAAGAGGAGTTCAAAGTAACAAAGTAGGGCTATTCTAAGAGACATTCTTGAATGAAGAGCAGTTTCAAGTGTATGAAAATCAAGACAGTCTTAGAGTGAAGCGCCACTTCCAAAATTTAAACCAAAACTAGTATGGAAAGGTTTTTGTTTTGACCACTGACAGGAAGCGAGTTAACTTTTAAATATTCCATACATTTTCCCCCATGTGTTTTTTTATGGACAATATTTCTTTTCACTTCTTATTTACCAGCAGCAGCAACTTTCTCAAAATCTTGAGCATTGCAGAACTCTTTAATGGTGACTGTCAACAGATTACTGGTGACATCTGTTACGACTACATTGGAGCAAGGGGACATGTCAGGACGCCAATCTCCAGCTTCTTCTTCAGGATCAGAATCATCAGGCTCTCCTTGCCCACGTTTGCTAGCAGATGACTCTGGTGGGATGGAGAGATCCAGAGCCTCGGATTCTCGCCAATCAGGAACAGCAGGGCTAAGGGTTTCAGGTAGCAGCTTAGGAGGGTGGTCGTCAGAAGGGGCTGGGGAAGGGCATCCAGAAGTGCTGGAGCTGTCATCTGCCAGACTTTGGAGGGTTGAAGTTTCCTCAGGCTTACCAGCATCTGGGCCACGCAGAACAGGCTTGTTGTAAAGTGGGTAGGCTCCATACTTGAAATGACGAAGCTGATTGCGCAGCATACTCTCGCTAAACTTCTTACTTTTTCCTATAACCCTATTCCGAGATGGAATTTTGGGGCGCCCTAGAGGTGGCTTTCCACCTTTGTCAATCACCTTAAGGTTGAGGATGATGCGGTTCCTTTTGGGTTCCCGAGGCTTTGCCTTACGATTGATTATTCGAACAGTTTCAGAGAAAGGAGACACTGGAGGGCGCAAGCCAGAGCCTGTTCCAGAAGGAGCCGAAGGGTCTGGACGGGGAAGAGGGCGTCGAGACATGCTGTGACAACGGCGTATGTCCTTCTTCAGGCGGTGCATTGCAGCGCTGGAGTGGAGTTTTGGAGAAGCACTAGAACCCGGTTTAACGGTGAAATGGACATCATTCACACGTAAAGCTTCAGCCTGGGCTCGGGCCTGGAAATAAGAAGAGATTTAAAAACTGATAAAGCAAGAACTTGTTTACTTGTTTAAAATCAACATTTTTATGAGAAGAAATCACATTGTATTGTTCAGACTCCTAGAAAACATTACAACTAAAATTACAGCCCAGATTTAGATGGTCTACAAGACAAATGTGTCATTAATTGCAATCTATGTTCTGGAAACACAAAAATGTAGGGAGGCTCTAATCCTGGAAAGTTATGTAGATGGAGGAAAAATATAAGTATGACAAATAACAATTGTTATTTAAAAGAACACTCCAAACCCCTAAATTAAATTAATCTAGTTGAAGTGCTTTGGGGACTAACAGAGTGTTTTCCCCCTGTCACTTTATAAAAAGTGCTTAATTGAAAAGATATTGGCTATCTTAGAAAAGGACATGGTTGCACTGATCCTTGTTGGTTTACACACCAACACAATTTGCAAGTCTATGCTTCTCTAGGAGAAGCCCCGTGGCAACTGTGAAGCTTCTCTATGAGCGCAGGAAGAGGGGAGCTGTGGTAAGGAAACCTACTCACTACTAGATTATGGGCTAAGGTAAACCTTTTATCTACGGACACTTCAGTATATAAATCCCAATTTGAAGGATGACAATGCAAGAACCGAGTTCAACCTATTACAGACACAAAGTCTCTTGGAAAGCTTTATTTTAAAAAAAGTGTTCTTTTGTAAGAACTAAAATGAGAATCACAAAAGGAAACCAGTCAAACCACCAGATGCATTGCATTCCATTGGGGACTCTTCCTTCTTATAATTTTGCACTGCATTTTATTTTTTAAGAACAGAACACTTTCAGTGTTATTCCCAATATTCAGATTTTTCACAAACTAACTCCAAATGGAAAACGTAAGGCAAAAGTAGTTGTTCATAACAGACTCTCAACCTTAGTCACAACTTTATTTTAGCCTCAGTTGGACTTAACCCACTCTTCAGTAAACTCCAAATTTAGGCAAGTTATTATTGAGGCACACTTTGAAAAGCCCTATGCATTTTGCTAATGCACTGGTACACTGGTTGAAATCCCACCATCTTAGACAGTACATAGAACACTTTTCTTTCAGATTAAAGAATTGTTATCCTCTCTTATCAAGAAAAATCAGTTTAACTTTACCTTTAAGAGGAAGGTTTTTGGTTTAGGGCCTCGTTTTTTAGGTCCATAAATTTCTTGCTCTCTTTCCCTGTACAAATGATGAAAATACAATTAAATCAATGAGCCGATTCACGATACAAGTCTCAGGAACAAAATAGCACATTTTAGAAAGCAATCACATTTCCACCATATAAGGGTACATACACAATGTTCTACTACAGAAGCACTGTATACGGTCATTACCACAGAAGTGATTAAATGCATACACTAGACAACATCCAGTTAAAGCTTGACAGTCATACAAATGAAAGCAATGTTAAAGGGAAAGCACTAAGCAACCTCAGCAGCAGAAAGACCTAAAAGTTTAGTGCGGGTAGAACCAGCATTTATTAATACTGCTTGAGAACAGTTTGGTAAAATAAAAAAATTTATTTAAAAAATAAATAAATAAAATAGGTACACACAAAATACGAAGATACGGCAGGCACAGACTTCTCGCAATATAGCTACTAAATTAAGATCTAGTTATTATGGCGTATAGAATCAAAGATAATGCATTTGAGGAAGAATAAAAATGCTCACTTCTGCTCGAAAGCTACAATGAGACGGGAATCCAAAATATTTTCTTCTGGCTCCCAGGTGCTGTACCTGCAATACAATTATATCAAATGATCTAGGTCAGAAAAAATAAAATGTAATTAATTAATTTTAAGTAATAGGCTGCTAGACCGGCCTTAAAATGTACTCACCACTGCAAATGTAGAGTTTTTTTTTTTGTTTGTTTTTTTAACACTGTACACTTAGGTCGATGAATAAGTATACTAATGTAATAAGACCAACACACACATATGACATACGATTATCCTAGTCTTAGTATTAGTTTTCTTAAAGGTCTCCAAGCACCAAAACATCAATTTAATGGGACACTCCAGTTTTAGAAATTAGTACATTTAGTTGTAATGCTGTAATGAGTGTTGCATTCAGTACCCCAGCATTCTAAAATGGAGAGAGTATTTATCTCTGATTCGAAGGTGAGACCGTCTCCTCACCACTGGTTCTCAGAGAAGCATTTGGGTCCTATATGGCATAGGCAAGTACTGCCTTCGGCTTTGAGTGATAAGAGTATCCTCGATGCAAGCTGTATACCAGCCACAAGGCAGCAACTTAGGATATTTATAAATATTGTAGACTTTGATATCATCACTTTTAGAAAATAAGGATGGGTCAGTTAACCCCTGAAGTACTTCACTTATCCGTTTCCTAATCATTCAGGACGAGTGAGGCTTTATGGAATACATTTTGTACTGAAATTACACGAACGTAAAAGCCTTTATATATTCTAAAAGTGAAGTGGTCAAACGCACACCAAGTCTCCCAAACACTGAAAAAAAATAAAAATTTAAAGTCACCTATGGCTAGTATCAACCTCTTTACAGGAGATTCTCCATTTTTATTTAAATGTATCAAATTAAGGCCTTGATTTAATAGTATTGTATAAGCTTTCCAAATGATTTAATATTTTTTGATAAACTTTTAAACATTCAATATATTTGAAAAAAGTAATAAATACAAAAGTAAAACATGTTAATAAAATTAATTCAGTTTAACACTACAAATTAAGAGGGGAAAGAAAGGAAGGCTCCCCCTCCCTTGCACCCACAGAGCCTGATTTCAGCGCCGATGTCCCTCAGCGCTGGGGGGGTCAAGCTCCCTGGACATCGGGAACCTAAAGCGCATGCACCCCAAGCTCGCATTAGGACAACCCCATAGGAAAGCACTGAATCAATGCTTTAACCCCTTAAGGACACAAATTCAGAAATAAAAAGGGAATTATGATGGAATATTTTGGTCATGTATCCTTAATGGGTTAATATTGGGTTTTAGCGGATGCTGGATGAGCTCACACATAGCGAAACCATTAGAATTGGAGTTAACCCTGCAATGTAATGATTGCAGTTTCACAATAACTGCAATAATTGTAATTTGCATGGATAAAAACTGTCAGGGACAGTGTACCCAGACCACTTCAATGAGCTGAAATGGTTTGAGTGCCTATAGTGTCCCTTTAACAATGACTTACACAGAGCCAAAATGGAGGCACCCAGTAGTGATATAAATGGGAGTGGATTTTTAGATTTTATTTTTCAAGAAAAAATAAACACAACCGACTTTAAAGCCAAAATAAACTTGTCCTCCGCTTGCGCTGATCCTAGATGACATATTTTAAAGAACCCAGTCACAGACATTTTACTTGCTGGCAACAGGGGAGCCCCAGGTATCATTAACCCAGAATCAGAGGCACCCCACTGACAGATGAGCTACATGGAACACTTGAGAGCTGCACTCAGATTTTTCAATGGGGATTTAAATTCTACAACTTGGTGTGAGCAGGGTTAAATCCCTGCTCACATAAGGGAGACCCAGGCATCTGTCAATATACTGGGCTCCCCTAGGTCACCTGGAGCCACAATTAGTGGTGCCCCAGACTTATTGATAAGTTCACTTTAAATGCTGCATACAACCTTTTAAGTCAACTGAAATCACTGTGATTGTGCTCAGCTACTGTGATTCTAGGCATGCAGCTTTTTGTGGGAGACTTGACAGGGTCTCCCTGCATGCCCGAATGCCATTCTGTTTCTTGTGGGCTTGCCAGTTGCCCAGCACTCATCACAAAATTGCAGACTTTTAAGCATGACTGGGACTTTGAGTGTTTTAGGGTTATATGAGAGGCCCCTGCACCCCTCCCCGCTCCCCATGTTCTGATCATACTAATGAGAAAGCATCTGCCTTAGCAGCGATGGGCAACTGTGCTTAGTTGAGCGTTTCAACTGACCACCCTTGGCCTGTCACAGTGACCATTTGAGTATTATTGGTATGGCCACAAGGAAGTGTGTAATTTTTGCCATAGTCACACCTCCAGTGTAAACAGGGCTATGGAAAACCAGGAACCCTTAGTTTTAAACTGCTCAAAAATGGTTTAACACTAAATAGAGGGACAATGCCATGGAACTCCAGGCACTAGAACCAATTCAATGAGATTAAATGGCTATAGTGAATACAGTGTCTCTTTAGCTTCTTAGAAAGTGCAATGTTCATATTGCAGTGTTAAATCCCACTCTAGTGGCTGTCAGTATGACAGCCCCTAGCGCCGCTTCTGCAGCACTGACAGGAAAAAATTCAGTCATGCGACACAGGAACTCATAGGAAAGTATTGAATTCAATGCTTTCATTTGGGAAAGTTTCAATGCATGCTGTGCATCAGTTTCCCAATGCTTCTCTATAAAGAGTATTGGACTAAGCCATCAATCGAGGAGGTCATGCTTCCTTGATGACATTGCAAGAGGCAAAAAGGTGAACAGCTCTGAGGGAGCCTCTGTGCTGAGAAGAGCATACATTTTTACTTACCGTAAATTTATTTTTCCTGAAAATTAGAGGCAGTGCTTGACAACTGGGATTTCTAATCTGGAGGGAAAAGACAGGCAGGCTGGCAAACCCCCAAACCTTTTTAAGTACCTCCCCCAATTACCGTTAGTATTATAAATATCTACTTACCCCAAACAGCCTCAGAAAATACAAAAGCCGGGTAACTGTAAAATTAAGTTTATTAGAAAACGGGGGACGGTGTGGAGATTACACTGACTCTAATAATCAGGAAAAATACATTTACGCTTTTCCCTTCAGATTAGAGGCTGTGCTTGACAACTGGGATAATCAAAGCAATCCCCTCTGGGCGGGACTCACTTCACCACAGCTTGTAACACCTTGCGCCCAAAAGATGCGTCTTTCGAGGCCAGTATGTCTAACCTGTAATGCTTAGAAAATGTATGAAGAGATGACCATGTGGCCGCAGAACAAATTTGATAAGGTGTAGCCGACCCCGCAGGGCTCAGGATGTGGATATAGTTCTGGTAGAATGAGCCTTGATGGGGAAAGGCACAGCAACATTGTTGGTGGAGTAAGCCAAACGAATGCCATCAGACCTTTCCTAGGACCGTGAAATAATACAAAAAGACTGTTAGGTTTCCTAAATGACTTTGTACATTCCAGATACTGTAGCAGAGATCTTTTAACGTCCAGACAGTGAAATTTTCTTTCCAAAGCGTTTGAAGGATTATGGCAAAAGGTAGGCAAAACTAATTCTTTATTGATGGTAGAGGAAGACAAAACCTTAGGTATAAAAGACGGATCCCAGCTTTAAGACTTTGGATGGAAAACCAAAAAAGGAAAATTTGCATTAAGAGCTTGGAGTTCACCCAATCTTTAAGCTGAGGTAATGGCCACCATAAACAAAGTTTTGAAAGATAAAACCTTCAGAGAAGACCTTTCTAGAGCTTCAAATGGAGGCTCACAGAGCGTAGCCAAAACCAAATTAAGATCCCAGGGCGGACAAGTTTCCCTAATGGTAGGAACCAAACGAGACTGTGCCCTGAAGAATCTGGAGATCAGAACGTTCGACGCCAAACATCTGAATGAAAAGAAACTGATAACGGACACTTGCACCTTGAGCGTGGCCCGTTTTAAACCCTTCGCGAAGCCCATCTGAAGGAAATTAAGGATGTTTTGAAAGGAAGAGGTAACTGGATTATGTTTGATCCTAAAACACCAAGTACAAAAATTTCTTCCATATCCTGGAATAAATTGTAGAGGTAGAATCCTTGTTAGCAGCCATCAAAATCTTAATAACCTCAGGAGACAAACCCTTATTCTTTAAAATCTGGTATTCAGACACCAAGCAGTCAATTTGAATCTCTGTAGAGTCGGATGTAGTACCATGGAGTGTTCCAGTATTTCTGTTGACAGGGGAAGTTTCCAAAAAGTTGAACCGGGTATAGTCAGGAGAACTGAGAACCAACTCCTTCTTGGCCACCAAGGGAGAATTATGATTATTTTCACTCTTTCCAACCTGATCTTTTGTAGAACCGTGGGAATAAGAACAAAAGGAGGAAACACATAGGCCAGGTTGAAATTCCAGGGTATCGAAAGGGAGTCTATGACCTCTGGTCTGTCTGCAGGGTTCATGGAAGCAAACTGTCTTGTTTTTCGGTTTGCTCTTGAAGCCATAAGGTCTATCTCTGGACAACCGAATATCCTTGTTATTTGACTGAAAACCTTAAAAGAAAGGGACCAATCGGCTTGCTTTAATTGTTGACGACTTAGAGCATCTGCCAACACGTTGAATCTTCCCTTTCAGTGAACTGCCGAAATCTAGAGAATGTGGACTTCTGACCATAGCATGATTTTGGAACACAGACATCCTAAACACGTTGACCTTGTTCTTCCTCGTTTGTTCACATATGCTACGGTCGTTGAATTGTCTGATCTGTACATGTTGATTCTGGATCTGGTACTGAAAAGGTAGGAGAGCCAGCTTTGTAGTTCGAATAACTTAAATCTTTTACTTGCCAAAGCCCTTGCTTCTTTAGATCTCCTACATGAGCCCCCCAGCCGAGACCTGATGCGTCCGTTGTTAAAATTCTGAAAGACTTCATTTGGAAAGAAAGGCCTGACTGCAGGAAGCGGGATGAGGTCCACCATCGAAAACTCTTCAGCGTCTGACTGTTGAATATCATAAGACCGTTCAAGCTGTCTGTATGCTTGTTCCAGACTTTTAAAATGTTTCTTTGAATGGGTCTCATTCTGGCCTTTGCCCAACTGACTGCAGGAATAGAGGCTATGAAAAGACCCAGCAAACTCATAGCTTCTCTGATGGAGAACAGACCTTTTTCTCCGAGCTTCTGAATAGTAATTCTCGTTCTCTTTTCTTCTGGAAGAAAAATCTTCATGGAAATGGAGTCTATAATCAGACCCAGGAATTGAATCCTTTGGACTGGAACTAATTCAGACTTTTCGAAATTTATCAGCCACCCATGATTTTTTAGAGTGTCCAAAGAAGTCATAAGGTCTACACAAAGTTCTTCTTTCGACTCTGCAATCAAAAGCCAGTCGTCTAAATAAAAGATGACATTGATGCCTATTCTTCTTAGATATGCTGAGACGACCACCAGAATTTTTGTGAACACCCTTGAGGCCGAAAAAAGACCAAAGAGCAGGGCTCTGAATTGGTAATGCAGAGTCATATTGTGGAAGTTGATAGCGAACCTTATGAATATTTGGCTGGATTCTGCAATGTATACGTGTAAATAGGCGTCTTTTAGATCCAGAGAAACAAACCAATGTTCTGGTTGAATAAGGTGAGATGCAGACTTTATGGGTTTCATATGAAACTTCTTTTTTAGAATAAAATTGTTGACGGACGGGGGGCGTGGCTGGGCTGCCGATGGAGTAGGACGCAGGCAGTGAGAGCTCCCGGGCCCCAACCCTGCCATAGCTCATTTTAAAAGCGTTACCACTCCCGTCCGAATGGGTAAAACGAGGAAGGGGACTGCCCTGGGCCCGCAACTTACCGCCATGTCGCAGCAACCGGGACCGATGGACGAGTACCTGTCCACCCCACAATGTATAGCCGGCACACAGAGCAGATCGAGCTCCACGCAGGACTCCCCGCGGAGAGACGCCCTCACTCAGATGTCAGCTGAACTCGCGGCAATCTCGGCAAACATGTTTTCCAGGCAAGACAAGAAGGAGCTGGTGGCAGAACTACGCGCGGCTATCCGGGAGGAGGTGGCTGCGGTCTGGCGCGACCTCTCCGCCCTAGAACACCGGGTGGGAGACCTAGAGGTCCAACAGCTGCAGTCAGAACAATCCCAACGGGCCACAGACCTGGCTACCACGAGGCAGGGCAACCTCCTCCTGGAGCTCAGACGCCAGGTGGAGGACCTTGAGAACCGCGGACGGCGCAATAATATCCGCGTCAGAGGCCTGCCAGAGTCGGAAGGAGAGACCCCAAGAGAGGTCCTGGAGGGCCTGTTCACACAACTACTGGGGGAAGAAGCTCCACCGGATTTCGGATTAGAGCGTGCACACCGGGCTCTTCGACCACCAAGGAGAGATGGCCTCCCCAGGGACTTGGTGTGCTGTTTTCAATCATTCCAACTGAAAGAAAGTATCATGAGAGCGGCCAGGGCACTGCGCACCATCACCTACATGGACTCACATGTATCCCTATACCAGGACCTGTCTCCCCTCACCCTCGATGCCAGGCGAGCGCTGAAGCCCATCACAGGCCTCCTACAGCAGAAGCGGATCCCTTACAAATGGGGATTCCCGTTCAGTCTGCAGGCAAGAATTGAGAATCGCTGGCTGGCAGTCCGCTGGCCTAATGATGTGCCTAGATTTCTACGAGCAGCGGGCCTCCCTGAGACTCCCGTCCCTAACTGGATCCTTGATCACCCGCCGGCCAGGCCCACGGGCCCTACAGTTCCAGCGGATCATCTGTCGGATGGTGCCCTGCGGAGCTCCTCAACGCACCGGAGCGGGCCCAACACCGCGGAAGAGTAGGAAGTCTGTAAGCACCCGAGAGCGCGCCCCTGGAGGGGTTCTTGCGCGGACCGGGAGCCCCGAGACCCCCACGTCCTTCCCCGCGGGTAAGGTGCACACCTGCCCGTAGGTACACGTGGATTAACTGAGGACTTGAAACTGAGCATCTGGGGTATGTACCGTTCCTCTCCCCGGGCCTGGGACTCCCCTATGTGTACTATAAGACCTGTACCCCCGGGAACTCAGCACTTGGGTGGGAGACGGGAAATGGGGGGGCAGCAAAGTGGAAGCATAGAAGGGAACTGGCCACCACCACTTCACACGGCCTCAGTTGGGGCAGAGCGGGTTCAGGTGGAGCACCCGACCTATTGGAGCTATTAACAGCATGTCAGGACCTGGTGTGGGGGCGGGGCCTGCAGGGAGGTTGGGCGGGTCTCCTAAGGGGTTACTCACTGGGGCTAGGGAGCCATGGCGGTACCCGGAGGGAGGAGGCTGGAAGCACACCCGTCACACCCCCCCGGGCCCGAGGGCCAAAAGGTCTACGCCCTGACCCCTGCAGGGCCGAGAGGGGTAGAGAGGGGGGACGACCGGGCACCTGGGGACGCACGAAGGAACTCGTACATAGACCGAAACAGGGCACAGGAACCAATAAGCACTACTTACAAGTGGCACCACTAAAGTCAAAGAAGGGCCAGAAGGCTCGTGTGTCCTCGGAGAGGGGGGAGACGGATAATCTGACAGGGCGGGAGGGGGTAGGACGGAGAATCTGGATGAGGGGGGGTTGAGGGGGCAGGACGGTCCATATGCTCTCCCTGGGGTACTAGGGGTAGAACACTGACGGGGGACAGCTGAGACTAGACGGAGACCGCACACACATCACGACTGGCGGGTTGGGAGCACCGGGAGACGGACTCGGACCAGACACACACACTAGGTTGTTCCACGCCGCAGGCGACCTTGCTCACACCCCACGCAACTGACCCGTGGTGTACAAACTAGTCGGAGTTCGGTAGGACTACAGTCGAGTAGCTGCCGAGCAACTCTATCCGACCGAGGTTCATTGTTGCTCACAAACCGTTTTTTTATTTTTTATTTATTTATTTATTTGTATTTTTTTATTTATTTAATTTTTATTTTTTTTCTTCCTTCTCTTTCCCCCCCTCCCCTCTGCCACCTGCCCATTCCTCTCTCTCTCTGCGTCTCTCCCCCACCCTCCCCTTATCCCCCCGAGCCCACGTACAGTCAATTACACAATGCCTTCCCAGACAGGGCCGGCCGGGGGCTGTTCACCCCGAGGGGCCGGGGGGAGTCTCGCCCCCGCACAACTCAAAGTGTGGTCTAATAACGTGAGGGGCCTAAACACCCCGGAGAAGCGGTCTCAACTTTTGAGGCAGTTATGGGCGGAAAAGGTGTCTGTGGCGCTCTTGCAGGAGACGCACTTTAGGGGTCAGGATTCTCCGAAGATTGAGAATAGACGCTTTCCACAGGGGTACTACGCCAATCACCCAGAGGCTAAGAAAACGGGAGTGGCGATTCTGTTCTCCCACATAGTCCCGTTCCATCTCATAGACACCATGACGGACCCGGGGGGGAGGTACATCTTTTTGAAGGGCACCATCGCACACCACACCTACACTTTCGCAAGCATTTATAGCCCTAACCGCGGACAGCATAAATTCTTTACCAAAACACTAGCCAAACTAGAAAAATTCAGGGCCGGCCTGCTGATATTGGCAGGGGATCTCAACGCTCCCCTGGACCCCCGGATGGACACCACCAGAGGGACCAGCACTGTCCCAGAGCACAGCCTACGTGCAATGCGACGAGCACTGACTGGCATGGGGCTGGTCGACAGTTGGAGGGTGGCCCACCCGGACGATAGAGACTTCTCCTATTACTCGTCAGTATATAGGCAATATAGTAGGATAGACTACATCTTCATGCCCCAGGAGAGCCTGGCGCTTCTCCGAGACGCTTCCATAGGGATTATCAACCAGTCCGACCATGCCCCAAACACGGTGATAATGAACTCACCTTTATTTAAACCGACCGAACGCCAATGGAAGCTCAACGAAACCATGTTAACAGAGCTCGAGATACGCACCAAGACACTACAGACGCTTACGCAGTACTTTGACACTAATGACACACCCGACATGCCCCCTCTGATGCTGTGGGAAGCCCACAAATGCGTCATTAGGGGTCACTTTATATCTATCAGCACGCAACGCAAGAAAGACAGGGCTCGCCAAATTTTGGACCTCACGGCACGGATTGCAGACCTAGAGAATACACATAAGCATAGCCTAGATGACGACACATACTTACGACTCACAGAGACACGTAGGGCACTCAAAGCACACTTATCCCAGGGATTACTACATACGTTGCGGAAATCAGCTAGGCACTTCTATGAGCACTCGAATAAGTGCGGTCGACTTCTGGCGCAGGTGCTCCGAGAGAAGCGTAGAGCCCAACATATTCACCAGATACGCACCGGACACGGACGGCACACCAGACTACCAGAGGGCATCATGGCAGCATTTAGGGCCTACTATAGGGACCTATACAACCAAGCTAGGCCAGCTCAGGGGACAGAAGCCCAAAACCACCGTAGGAAGGTCACAGACTACCTAACGCGACATGTGACTCGCAAACTCACTCCGGAGCTCGCTGAGGAAATTGATGCTCCCCTAACCTTAGAGGAACTAGCCGCAGCCATGAAACGCTCCAAAACTCACAGGGCCCCGGGGCCGGACGGCCTCCCCCTCACATATCTAAGAACTTTCCGAGACGCCCTACTACCCCGACTTCTAGCAGGCCTGAACTCCTTACAGGACGGGGGGCGGTTCCCCAAGGACTCCCTGGCGGCGATAGTAACGGTTATCCCCAAAGACGGGAAAGATCCATCAAACTGCTCGAGCTATAGACCAATTTCATTGCTAAATGCGGATCTGAAGCTATTTACCAAAGCTCTCTCCCTGAGGGTGTCACGGATCCTGCCGGATCTCATTCACCCAGATCAGGTGGGCTTTATTCTGGGCAGAGGGGCCAGGGACGACACGATACGAGCCCTGAACATCATACATTGCGCACGAACCTCGGGAAGGGACACAGTCCTCCTCTCTACGGACGCCGAAAAGGCGTTCGACAGGGTGGACTGGGTCTATTTGGACGAGACCCTAAGACACATGGGGTTTGGACCAACTGTACGAGCCTGGGTGTCGGCGTTATACTCCTATCCAACGGCACGGATCCGCATTAACGGAGCCCTAACGCAGTCCTTCCCGATTGGCAATGGGACCCGGCAGGGTTGTCCCCTGTCCCCCCTCCTGTTTGCCCTCTCTCTTGAACCATTTCTGGAGGCGGTCAGACAGGACGGGGGCATAACGGGGGTGAAGGTGGGGTCTGAAGAACACAGAGTGGGGGCCTATGCGGACGACATGCTCTTTTTCATGGAACAACCCAGGATATCCATGCCCAACCTCTTACAGGCGTTCCACACCTATCACCAGGTATCCAACCTAAAACAACGTTGAAAAGTCCGAAGCCATGCCGATAATGCAGGGAGAGGAGCGGGCCCGTCAGCTGGGCTCCCAGTTCGCCTTCTCCTGGTGCACAACCAAACTAAGGTACCTTGGTACCTGGCTGCCAGCGGACCTGACGCAGATATACAAGCTAAACTTTCTCCCTCTCCTCTCCGCAATCCAACAAGACCTTCAGTGGTGGACGCAGCGGTACGTATCCTGGTTTGGCCGTATTGGTGCGGTCAAAATGAACATTCTCCCCAGGCTGTTATATCTCTTTGCGGCACTACCCACCAGGATCCCCCAGACGTTCTTCAACTCGGTGACAACAGCTATCCGTAGGTTTGTGTGGAACAACAGGCAGCCGCGCATCCGTAGGTCGATCCTAGAGAGACCGAAAGCGGCCGGGGGGATGGGGCTACAGTCAGTGATCTCATACTATAGGGCCACACACCTCCATAGGGTAGTAGACTGGCATGCGCGGCCAAGTACCAAACGATGGGTATCCATGGAACTGCAACAGACTCGGGGCGCTGTCCCGTCGCAGCTCTGGCTGGGTGGGTATACCTACACAGACCTGCACACAAAAAACCCGGTGATAGACGCAACTCTCAAGGTGTGGTGCGGACTAAGATATGCCTACCAACTCACCAGCTCCCCAAACCCGCTTACCCCTATTACTCACAACCCGAGGGTTGCGGGTGGCCTTCACCCGGTTGCTTTACGCAATTTCCAAAGAACAGATTGGTTCTATGTACGCCAGTGGAGTCCGGGGGGAACGCTGCAATCGCTGGGGGACTTATTGCCAGACGGGCAACCTACTGTTCTCGACAAATTCCACTATCACCAGGTTAGGTCCTACTATACCAAAATCCCGGGGAGAACTCAACTCCACCGTACACTTACGGAATTTGAACGCCTGTGCACAGACAGACGACATTTAACCCATGGGGTGTCACACTTATATGCTCTGCTCCAGCAGTCAGGGGATAGTTGCCCACTAGGCTACACGAGCAGATGGGAGGAGGAGACGGGTACACAGCTGACGGACCAAGAATGGGACAAAATATTCCTCTTCACACATAAATGCTCAATTAGCTCGAAATTCCAGGAAACCAGCTACAAACTGTTAACACGATGGTACAGAACACCAGACACACTGAGGCACATACAGGGGACGGACACAGACGATTGTTGGAGATGCGGATTAGAAAGGGGCACCAACCTACACATCTGGTGGTCATGCCCTAGTATCAAACCATACTGGCAAATGATCAAGGCAAAGATCAAGGAGATCACAGGGGACGACATCCCCCTACAGCCGCTGCCAATGCTTCTACACCATACACCCACCCCAACGCAGGCATACAAAAAGTCACTGACAATACACCTATTGAACGCAGCAAAGGCCCTCATTCCCCTGCACTGGAAAGGTCCATCAGTTCCCACACTTAGACAATGGATAGACAAGGTGGAGACCATCTACGACATGGAGATCCTGACGGCCTCTATGCGAGAGCGCGCAGATAAGTGCGCCCTGACGTGGTATCCTTGGAGGCAGTATACCTCGAGAGACGGGGCATGAGTTGCGGGGCTGCGGAACCGACCTGAGGGGGGAGGTGTGTGGGGAGTGTGCTCTTTTCTTTTTTTTTTTTCTCTCTCTTCTCTTCTTCTTCTTTCTCTCTTTCCCTCCCTTTGTGTGTACTATCTCTCAACTTATACCCAGCACGGAGACCCTGAAGCAGACTGGCTTAGTCTGGAACATGCCCCGACGGACGCACTACCCCACAGTTCATGGACGACATACAGGACATGGACAGGCCATACTGACACAGCCGAAAAGGGGGGTCACCCTCCTAGACATAACGGCTTGGGTGGAGGCGACAGGTATAAGGCTGACCTCACAATCCTAGTGAGTAATTAGTTTGACTCCCCTTCTCTGAGGGGGAAGATTTAGAGCGCAACACGCCGAAATGGCCCCGAGGGTTTAACATGACTGACCACCTATAAGAGTTGACACTTAAACATTCTACATGCACCTCGGGGTGCACATGGGGACGCAGGATTAAACAAAGCACAGCAATCACTTGTCGGGTTGACCGAAGGTTGACTGACCTTCATATTACCCAAGCCGCAGGCATGGATTCGTATGTAGACAACCTCCAGATTTCGATAGTAGAAAATATGAGCATTGTTCTGTTACTTGTTTATATATGTCTTGTACCATTTACCGACAGACCCTAAGCCGCGGGCATGGGTTTGTATGTAGACAACCTCCAGATTTTGAGAGTAGAAAATATGAGCATTGTTTCTGTTACTTGTTTTTTATATGTCTTGTACCATTTACCGTTTTACTTACCGTATGCCTACGGAATATTTGAAAAAATTACCTTCAATAAAAATGATTGACACAAAAAAAATTGTTGACGGACTTGAGATCTAGAATGGGTCTGAAAGAACCGTCCGGTAAATCTTTAATTTTAGGAGCACTCTTTCTATGACCTTCTTTTGAAGGAGCTTTGATACTTCTTCCATTAAGGCTCTCTCTGTTGCAGGCGATAGGGCCGTAGAACATAAAAATGTTCTTTTTGGGATCTCTGATAGATCCAGGTAGTAACCATTCTTTATCACAGAAAGAGCCCAGCGATCAGAGGTAGTCACTTGACAGTAATTTAGGAAATGTGTCAATCTTCCTCCAACTGGAATGGCGTCATAACATCCTATTCCTCGTCAGTGAACTTCTCTTTTCTCCTGTAATCAAATACTTTCCTTTGTAGACCCCTGCAAGCGCTCTTTCGAAAGGAACCTCTGAAGGAGGACTGGACTCCAAAAAAACTTTTTATTCCAAACCAGTTTCCTGTAAACGTCAGGCGAGGCCTTCCTTCATCTGTTTTAACAGATCATCCAGTTTAGAACCAAGAAGTCTACCAAGTTCAAATGGAAGGTCACAAAGAATTCTTGGATGCTGAGTCAGCTGACCAGTTTCTCAGCCATAGTGCTCTCCTTGCCACTGTAGATAGCCCCAGTGCCTTAGCGGATAACTACAGGCTTTCTGAAGAAGAATCTACAAAACAAATCCAATGCCATCTTTTTCAACTACTTTACAGAGTCTTCTTTAGATTCACCCGCATAAACCTTCTCTAATTCTTCTAGCCAATGTTTCTGTGCCTTTGCCACAGAAGTACCTGCAATCAGTGCTTTCGATTGTGCAGCTGAGGAGACAAATATTTTCTTTAAAGAAGAATCCATACGCTTCTCCATGGCGTCTTAAGCCACTCGAATCACCTATAGGTAAAGTGGTTTTCTTTCCCAGCTGAGCTATAGGGATGTCTACCAATGGAACAGAATCCAGGAGGCACTCAGGATCCATTTCAAATGGTAAAAAGAGATTTAAAGTGTTTTGACATAAACTGCTTTCGCCCTGGGAATTTCCATTCTCTCAAATCAAATCCTTTAGCGGAGGATGAAATGGGAAAACTTTTGATTTCTTCCTTTTTCACATCCTCCATCAGGAACTGGACTTCCTTTACTCATTTTCCAATAGATTCCTCTGGAAATGCAAATTCCTCCTCAGAAGAATCACTAGAATTCTCATCTCTTGATTCAGACATATCAGAACTCGAGCTTACATCTGATAGTTCCCAGGATCTAGGCCTTTTCTTAGACGGTTTTATTACTGACAAATCCTGAGAAACAGAGTCCTGAGCAGACTGAATGGCTGCAGTCTGCATTTGCATACTTTGCTGGAGCCAGTTTACGAATGTGGACATTTCTGACTTCTTTGCTTCCTCAGAAGTCTCTTTGGAAGCTATTTTCCTTTTATATCCATCTGGCATGGGTTGTGAACAAGCAGCGCAACTTAAATGTTTGGATTTTGCAGAACATTTACCCCTCTAAGAAGTTCTATCTGTAGTCTCAGGATTAGACATACTGAGGAAAGAGAAAAAAAAAAAATCTCAATTTTAATTCAGGCTAAAGCCATTTAAGCGAAAAGCAAAAAGTCTTACCTTAAATGGTCTCAAAGTGTGTTGGAGGGCAGGTGAGAACGCACTTGCAACAGATTCTGAGTGCACCTGGCAAACAGTTAGTTGCTGCTGGTTAAATGGCCTCTCTAAGTCCTAGAAACCAAATCTGAACGAGCGACGAAAATAAAGAAATTTCAGATTTTGGCGGCTGAATTTGAATCGTATTGCACATGTGCAACGCGATATCCCGGTGGAACGCAACCTGTACGTGCGTTCTACCGCCAGGACTTCCCAGCTGGCCCCTCGTCTGCCCGGCACATTGCGCGGTATAGACGGTATTCACATATAACACAGAGGGGATTCAGCCGTCCTGCGTGCTTACCCCTGTCCATAAGCGAGAAGAAGCAGAGCCTCCTGAGCCTCAGCCCTCTCACCATGCTTCTTGAGGGAACAACCTGTCACCCTCCTCTGCCAAAGGCAGGCAAAGAACTGGGGCTGTTTTGGGGTAAGTGGATATTTATAATACGAATAGTAATTGGGGGAGGTACTTAAAAAGGTTTGGGGGTTTGCCTGCCTGTTTTTTCCCTCCAGATTAGAAATCCCAGTTGTCAAGCACTGCCTCTAATCTGAAGGGAAAAGATAGCTAAAACTCAAATGTATAACATTTTTATTAAAACAGGGGGAGAACTACATATAAACTAGGGACAAGGGAACTCTAGCTAACTAACTAGCATTAGAAATACAGCCTTTATGCTGCATTAATTATGCACACGGTTGCCAAAACTGTGGAAAAAAAAAAAGTTCATATTTTATGTTTAAATAAATGAGATGTAAATGACACACACACACATATATATATATATATATATATATATATATATATATATATATATATATATATATATATATATATATATATATATATATATATATACACACATATACATATACATACACACATATACACACATACACACATACACACATATACACATATATACACACACACACACATAAAAAAAACATAACATGTAATATGTTTTTGTGTGCAATAAATGACAAAGATAGAAATTGTAGGTGAACACACGTAGGAAAAATGCCCAAAAATTAAGTCCTTAAGTACAAAGCAGTGTCCTTCAAGCGATACTCCAGACCCCTAAAGCACTGTAGTTTGCAGACATGCTTTATGTATAAATAGTGTGTCCTCTTCTGCCCTCCTCCCCCATTTTACAAAAAGTGTAAAACTCAATAAAAACTGGCACTTTTCTAATTTAACCTGGTTACCACCCCTATGGCTCTCAGGCACACCACTTATCATATTACTTCCTACCACTTTAGCTAGCTGTTTAACCTGAAGATACAGCAATTGCACAGAGCACCTGCCTTGCAAGGACTTCTCATTGAGCGTCTGTGATTGGACAGCCACAGAAAGTCTGGGCGGAGCTAGAAATTGAAGGTTTGCAAAGGCAGCAGGTTTTGCAAGCTGTTTTTAGATATACGCCTAATGAAAATGTGCATCCATGTTTTTATTTGGAGTATTTCTACTAGTGATGTTTGTTATTTTTCTGTATTTGGGCAGTGAATTGTGCCCGTTTAAGGGGTTGAAAAACAGGTAATTCCACAAATCCAACACACTGTTGTGAATGAAGCTTCCCGAGAGGACAAACCCCTGAAAAATATTTGCACTTCGCAGCATGAAATTAACCAGAACACTTTCCAGTAATGGCTTAAACTCCACTAACCCGCTGTCATTGCACACGGAATTCTTTAAATGCCAATGGTGTCTGGAACCTTTTAACGTTAATGTGTATGAATTCAGTTGTAACTCTGCATAGAATCAACTCAGCATGCCCAATAGCATGTTTTATATCAAACCAAAGTGCTCCTAGAAGAAAATACTCAACAGTTAGAGTTAAAATATCAGCCCACGATTAATGCCCCAACTTGGTAAAAGCTGGTATGATAAAGGGGATGAACTTCTACCTTACTGTAAGATCAGGATGGAAGGACCATGGGCATAGGACAGAAACAGTATGCGGTCAGGCACACGGGGGGACCTTGTAGACAGACATCTGAATTTTATTTCAGGGTTGTCAATTTGAGAAAGAATACTCCAAGTTGCTAAAGATCTGTATTCTTAAAATGTCTCTAGTTGTAGTAAGGCTCCACGCTTCCTGTTTGTCAAATAAATAATTTACTTTCCTTTTTCTGACATGGAGGCTCCCACTGTGCCGCTCATTTTTTCCACCTCCTGCGGCGATGTGATCACATGGCCCTAGAGGGCCGGAGCTACTGCAGGGGGACTGCTAGGGTTCAGGGCTCCTATTTGCCGCGGACATACTTGGTACGTCTGCGGTCCTTAACGACCATTTTAGTTGGACATACTCAATAAGTCCACAGTCGTTAAGGAGATATTCATTGATATATATTTATATTTTAATATCAAAATACAGTTCGAATTTTAATATAATATATAAAAATTATATATATATACACACACACACACGTGTGTAATTTTACAGTAAGTATTTTTATATTAATTTTAAAAAAAATACACTTAGTATGACGTTAGATAGCATATATATAGATATATATATATATATATATATATATATATATATATACACACACACACACACACGATATATATATATATATATTTTTATTTTATTTTTTATATTTTTTTTTTTACATTTATTAAATTTTATTTTTACTTTTTCACCAGTAGGGGCACTGCCTGTCATTTCAGGCAGTCCCCCTGCTGGCAGCACTGTGGACACCTATTGTGGCCAAGTGACCGCTCTTTTAGCGGTCACATGGCCCCTGGGGGTCCTACAGTGCAGAATGGGGACTGTCTGGGCTGAGCTTCTTCAGAAGAAGACTGGTGGTGATATATATATATATATCTATCTATATCTATATCTATCTCTCTCTCACTCACTCAAAAAAAAAAGCCATGTCTGACTCGGCCCAACACCTTCAGCCCAAGATCGTATATTTGTTTGGCTAACTAACCAGTTCTACAAACCTAAGTGCCGACATTTCACAAGAGGGATTATACAAAGAGGAATTTGTTCAAGTGGACATGTCACCTTCATACAATGTCTGTTAACTATTAATGGAAATACTGAATTGTTCATGAGATAGCAACTAAATGATCCACGATACCTATTGTAAACTATCTTTCAGCTTTCAAACGTGACTACATTAAAGTTATATTTGCAAAGAAATTACACTATCAAAATTAAATATTTTATATCTTTAAAAAGGGTTGTCAGTTTTGCGGGTTTTTATTTACCAATGTATTCTTTGCTGTGCTTTATAATAATAGCATTAAAGTATATGTGTGTCATATATACAGACACACTCATTTAAAGCCTAATTTTATTTCATGGTCATAAATGTCAGAAACAATACTTGAGTTGTTAAATAGGAACTGTCCCCCATGTTTGTTTGTGACCAAACCCTTTGTTAAGTCTTTCCCAGCAACCACTATTTTATGGTCTTACTGTGGTGAACTGTGCAAAATAAGGGAACACTTACTCCCAGATCTTAAAAAACAATACCCCCCCCCTGCCAAATTATAATTTTGTAATAAAAACAAAACCAAAACACACCACAACAGCTAGCATGCCATTAGCTCATATAGAACAAGGCAAGAGTTTCAAGGTACACGAGGACATCCAGCATCACCCAAAACCAGTGGCGTACTAAGGGGGGGCAGAGGGGGCGGTCCTCCCCAGTTGCCCCCAGGGTGGGGGGTGCCATGACCAGGAGCGCCGGCCCCCCCATGCAGCAGCCGCCCGAGCGCTCTGTAGAGAGCCTCAGGTGGCTGCAGCTTTGCCCGGGCGGTGCGTCCATGAGGGCACACCGCCCGGGCGCAGCATGAGGAGAGGGGCTGACAGGAGGGAAGCGCTCAGCGCTCCCTCCTGTCACTCCCTCACTGTAGCGTGGCCGAGCCCTCTATTGGTCCGCAAACTAAAAAAAACAAGCAATTAAAATCAGGTACTGCTAAAATGCATACAGGAAACACATGATTAATAGTAGAATATGAAAATGATGTACCATATACACACACAGTACTGTATTAATGAAAACACAAAAACAGCTTACTTACTTTATGGCCCAGCCTTTCCATTTCACCAAATATTCAATACGGCCCTATCAAAAAGCAAAATAAATAGTGAAAAAAAAAAAAAAATAAAAAAAAAGAGTCAGAATAATGCAATCCATATAATAGTCATAAAGAAGGTCAGACACACAAAGAATGTAAATGACAAACAAGACTAGTGATGCCAGAATAAACATTCCTCTTGCTTGAAAAACTACTACATTTGGGGGCTTTTATTCCCCCTTTTCAGATGCCTTAAATTTCAATTATAATTAATGTAACAAGAAACCATATAATGCTGCAAAACACATCAAATCATTATACCACACACACACACACAACGAAATTTCATTACCCTATATACTCCTGTATAAGTCAAGAAATTTTAGTCTTAAACTTCATTTTAAAACGCAAAGTCGACTTATCCACAGGTCAGTGCTAGTTTCGACAGAATTTTGTACTGTGTTGGGGAGTCAAACGGCGTTCGGGAGTTCTAATGCGGGGCAATGTCAACTTCCGAACGCCGTTCTCCTAGTTGGTCAGGAAGTGGAACGAGCAGGGGTACAAGTTTACAGAGAGGTTTGCGGGCTTGTGTAGCCAACTCAGAGATCCATGCCATCAACGGCCATGTACCACTACCTGCGTTCGGGAGACAACACGTGCGTTCGTATAGACGAATGGCAGCCACCTTTGTGGTTAACAACCAGGGGTGGTCAGAGTCTGTTCGTTAACCAAACAATTCCATTTGAATAACGTACCCTCTACTTATCCCAGAGTCATAGCATATTTCACAATTGTTGGTCAAAAAACTGCACTCTACTTATAGACGAGCATTTACGGTATCTGAAAATAAATTGGCAGACTTTTTGGTAATGCAATGTTAACACAGCAATTCTGTTTTTTAACCCATAAGTGCCTGCATTCTTGGAATGGATCTAAACGTCCAATTCCATAAAAGCAGAGATATTTAGCCGTTGATGTCAGAAACATTAGGCAATTATCCTTTTTCACTCAATCTCCAAATTCTGCTACTCTCCCATTAATAATAAATATAAAAAAAAATTAGACTTCTACAGATCACGTGACACAAACTGCTTGTTTATGCACTCGTCACCTGAAAATATTATTGCAACCTTGTAAATTACATAACTTATTTCATTGCGGTTTCATTCTTATTAAATAACGACCTCGCCCGGTATTCCCATAGGTTTCATTCCTTTAAAAAGAAGTTATAATATACCTCTATAAAAACACTTTTATACAATATTTGCTCTATTTAAATCAATGGGATCCTCTTCGTAACAGAAGCCCGAAGCTCTTAAAAAAAAAAATCCACAGGTCAGTGCTAGTTTCGACAGAATTTTGTACTGTGTTGGGGAGTCAAACGGCGTTCGGGAGTTCTAATGCGGGGCAATGTCAACTTCCGAACGCCGTTCTCCTAGTTGGTCGGGAAGTGGAACGAGCAGGGGTACAAGTTTACAGAGAGGTTTGCGGGCTTGTGTAGCCAACTCAGAAATCCATGCCATCAACGGCCATGTACCACTACCTGCGTTCGGGAGACAACACGAAAACAAAACAAAACAAAAAAAATAAACTTTTTATTTGCAAGGAAGCAGGGTCAGCATCCATGTCCAATAGTCATATTATTAAGATTAAGTGATTTTCGTGCACAAACTACACCTTTAAGATTTTATTTTCTTTAAATTACCAATTCTTTAGAAAGGTATTTAGTCAGTCTTCGGACTAGAAAGCAGTTTTAGTTGACTAAAATCTCCCATAGAATCGACATGACAAATCTAATGGGTTTAGGTAAAGCCTCTGTCTCATTTGCCCCTTCTCCAGCTCCTCTGTGTCCCCTCTGAGTGTTTCTTCCCCAGCCCCTCTGTGGGTCTCTTTCTCTCCATAGTCTCATTTGTGTGTCTCTTCCCCCCAGCCCATCTAGCTGCATCTCATTTCCCCTTATTGTCTCTTTCCCCCAGCTGTCACACCCCCTCACCCACTCCCAGTGTCTCATTCCCTTTATGAACAGCTGCCTTAACAAGCCCTCCTTTTTTCCCCCCAGATGAGAATCAGTCTCCTCACAGAGAAATAACCAGATGCTTCTCATGGAGAAACCTCTGATTTGGTGCCCACATGCATCCCCGGTTTGAGGTCTGGAGCTGATCTGACGTCTGTGGGGATGGGGAGGCATGCCCAAGAAGGCTGCAAAGCTCCCTGGCTGTTTGAGTGACAGCCAGGGGGTGTTCCCTAGTTAAATTTATAAAAGTGCTGATTGCTCATAAAAATCTCCACTTTTATTAATTGAGAATAAACTAGGATACTCCTTGTCACGAACGCACCCTACTTCAAGAGTGTGCGTGATGTAGTTGTGGTGGTGAAAGGGTTAACGTTCACTATTTGTCTGCACTAGATCGGAAATAATGATAAAATCCCCTTAACACCACCCACACTTAAGCATAATAATATAACTTACTATTTTAACACTGCCACCACCAAGACAATTTATAAATGGGGTGCCTTGGTCCCCCTGGTAACTTAAGAAAAACCCACCAAATATAGCTTTGCACAATATGTAATAGCAAAATATGAATTATTCTCTTCAGGTAACGTTATTCTTTACGAGACAAAGGCAGAACTTTATAAAGAAACACTTATGAGCAAAAAAATAGTAAATGCACACAGTGCATACAAAAAATATGGATGCCAATCAAAATATTTACACCAACAACAGATAAAACCAAAAGGGATGAGATAACATAAGTCCTAATCACTTACTCAGCTTTTCGAAGTAAAACTTCTGCCCCAGGAGGTCTCTGGTAGGAAAGATGGTGACTTACTTAGAATTAGATTCTGGCCCCTCAAGCAACTACAATGCACACTTCCGTATCATTAGAGAAATACCATGTGGATTACCACGCCTCGCCCAGAGGTGGAGTTAAGGCATATCTATAGAGACAAAAAGTGACCACCACCTTGTGCCCTAGACCTACCTCAATCCAAATGGAAACATTTGGTTCTATCGTCTCTTATGTACTTGCCACAGAAATAATAATTGCATCTGCGAATTTGTTATTTTTCCATTCCATAGATATGTCACACACACCTCACTTGCGACCCAATATAGCGGACATCACAACCCCTTCCCCTATGGTTAAGTTATACCAATCATGTTTGGACTTGATTAAAAGATGGCGCTTGTCACATTCCAAATATAACAAATGAGGCTTAATTACTATTCTGTGGGTAAATAATGTTTTTCCTTTTGGATATGATACTGGAACAAGGCTAATGGCCATTAACATATCAAAGAGATTGACTCATCAATTAAGAGGTAGTTTCAAGTGTAGCATCCCACACCTTGCAGAGGGTCTTTGATTAATCACAGGATCTATCCATGTGGTAACCCATCTGACCCTTTTCACATTCCTATGCAATTTACATTACCCCTTCTGTCATCTGACCTCTGTGGGGGTCCCAGCTTCAAAGAGGAATTAAGGCTATAAACCTTCTGACATTCCATACAATCAAATTAACCCCTTTTGACATTGGCAATACCACCTCTACCAGGCAGGCAGGCCATCTATGCAGCACACAAATTACATTAGAGGACATTATCCCATAGTGCAATAATTAATTAAGCACCCTTGCCGTGACACTCCTCACCTGTAAAGCACTTCAGCAAGCTGAAGTGCCTTTGTGGTGTGAAGTGGTCCTTTATAATCTTAAAAGTTGTATATACAAATTCCCAAACAAAATACACAGATACAGAAAACAGAATAGGTTGGGGTGTCTTAAGTCATGATAAACGTTTCTGACTTAATTTCAAATTCTGCAAATCACATGACATTTTTTCCAAACAGAGTCTATGGTCTGTATTTGTTACAAATGGGGAAAAGTGTTATTTCTATTTCTGAGAAGTAATTGTCCTTTACAGGTGTGTGCACAGTGCAACGTAGAAGGCTGTGTTCACGTCCATGTATAGTTGTACTGTCTTTAGAAAAATGTATCTATGCTGGTATCAAATGAAAGCTCCCCAGCAGTACATTTGTTGAATAGTAAATGCATATTCTGTATTGTAATTTGTTCCAATAGGATTAAATATTTCTTCTTGTTCAGTAACAAACCTCAAACGAATACTAAAGAAATGGAACAGCTGACTGGAACTGATCAGACTTTTCCAAATCACATGGGGGAAAGCTCAGTGCTTTTTCTTGGAATACTCAGAAAGATTTCTGATGAGGTAATTGTGATCTAGAGATTATAATTCTGGTTGTGCTTTGTCTGGATTCGTTGTATGTAGAGTTTGTTGGAAAAAACGTGATTTTGGTTTTCTCCAAGTCCATCTTAAGACTTAGGAGTCAGTACTAACCATGGTACCTCTGCTTAGGTTAGTTGGGTCTTTTGAAATGTGGTGATTAGTGGTACGGACCATATTGCAGGGAAGCATTAGGAATTTTGTGTGTATCAAGTATCCATTAACTGCTATAAAATCAGCATCTTGCTGGGTCCCAATGTTTGGAGGTCTACTACATTACCGTGCACTTTGAAAAAGACGACTAGTGGAGTTTAGCAAATGTTTTAAATTAATATTTTCCACTATACTCTACTTTCATGAATTTCTTCTATGTTGAGGTCATCAGGTTTTAGATTTTTTGAGTTCATAGAAATACTCAACTTCTGGATTGCTAGCATTTGAAGTGGATTTTCATTTCTATTTACTTTTGAATGAGTGAATTAATTCAAGCTTCAACCATTCAGGTCTTCTACAGCTTACACATTAAAGGGCACCTGTCTGCCCCAAACAACCTATGTTCATTAAATTGAGCATACGACTAACTATACATGGTGCTAGCAGTTTTGCTAACAAATGTATAGGTTAGGCAAAAAAACCTATTTAAAAATATTTTTCTCTCCTAGAGGTCACTGATGAGGGAGAGCAGAAAAGACCTCCCTACTAGGTGGTGTATTTAAAACTACAGGGTCAGGAATGCATGTTTTTGTTCCTGACCCCATAGTGTTCCTTTAACATTCCCAGCATTTGTAAAAATCCCAGACTATAATATCCACACCTTTTCATTGACAAAAAAAGGTTCACGGCCGTGATACACACCTATGGAACAGGTGTACAACTTCTAGAATGCAATGTGGCACAGATAAGATAATGCTAGCAATTCAGAGCTCAGAAATGCAAATATTGTATAAATTTATAGGAAGGTCAATTATTTGAACAGTACAGACTTTTGCTGGTTCAGTTGTCCTGGACCTGAAGAACACGTATATTAGCTGAAATGCTGAAAAGTACATAAGCTGCACATATTTATTTTAGACAAGGCCTTGGAGTGCAATCCCTTTTATATACGGTTGAGTTCTGCTGGATAATGCATGAGGTCAGAATATTGGTTTGTGTATAGATTAAATAGTTAATGCAGAAGAAGTCACAAACTAAAACCCTAAAGACTCATTTTCTGGATATAAACAAATCCACTATAATTTAAGAATACTGTGCAAGGCAGTCAGTCCAGATAGCCATATTGTGAGAATGTTTACATAACAACAGCTTTAAATAGTGTTGTAAGTGTTGATTAGGTTCGCAATGGACACTGATCAATAATGGTACAATAAAATTTTCCATTTTGACTTATGTTTGCAATTCAAAGTTTTAAAATTTCAAAACCAATGACACATTGAGGGAATATTGGGGAGGGGGGGGAATGGGGGTGAATGGCGAGGCTAGGGAACTAGTTTGAGATTTAAAGCGTCACTATTTACCAAAACAACTTTGCATTAATACCAGAGTGGCATATAATTGCAGCAATTTAGATTGAGAGAGTCACTGCAGCTCTGAAAACTCCCCCCTCAACCCCCTACTTTACTGTCTAACTTCTGCATGTAGAATCCAACTGCATAAATAAAAACATTTCTAATATCTACCCACCGACAAGAAGCCAGACGAAGAAGCTGCAATGTATTTTAGATTATATAAAAAAGGCAATCACGGGCGCATAGGTTGTGCTTGAAGATGTACATAATGATATGCATGCTGAAATAGATGTTTTCTATAAACATGTTAAAGGGGATATATGTATGCATGTTTTGTAGAAAAACTATATCTACTTATTACAATAAATATATCTGTTCATCCATAATGCAGACAACTGCACAAATACAATTTACATAAAAAATTAAGGAGGCTAATTTGGGTCATTTACACATAAGGAAGATTAATAGAAAATCTGAAATTTTCCCTCTAAATATAGACTGTTAAATAATTACTGGCAAATGTACAAATTAGATTTGTTACTTTGTCAGAATATTTTTGATGTTGTAACTATTCATTTTGAAACATAGCGCTAAATTATTTACTTCTTCCAAGATTTTTGAAGATATTGGAAGAAATTCTGTGTGCTTGAAATGCACACCGCGCCAGGAAGTGCTTTGGAGTAACAAGTAATTTAAGATGTCAAACGGTAGAAATAGTTGAAGAAGTGAAAATGAACTCCAGTATTAACATGAATAAGCGAATTAGGAACTACAGACCAATGAAGTTCCAATTCAGTGGTAGTTATTCAGTAAAGTGACCTGTTAGCTATTCAAGGTGAATTTTAAAATAAAGGCCAGTATATAAATCAGGGAAATTCTTCAATTCAGTTATATTTCTAGTTTGACTAGTTTGGTCTAAAATTTTATTTTTTTTCCACTCCAAACAATTCACACTTACGATTTTACCTTGTGGAAAGAAGTACAGCCATCATATGAGATGAATAGCTGTAGTTCAAGTACTTGATTACCCCAGCGCATTGCAGGCCACACTTGACTTAAGTGATGTACAAAGACTCCTAATTAGAACAAGGAATGGCAATTTTGATCAAAACTCTGCTTAATCATTGTGGAAAAAAAGAGGACCGTTTCATTTTTGCTACATGATTTATCTTGCAATATTGCATCACTTTTTTTATATTGTAACAGAGTCTTCCAACCGTTACCCAAACAATAACAGTAAACAGGTGCAAATACAGAGAGGCCTGAAAGAAGTATGTGCAAGATAGGAAGCAAAAGAACGCGGTTTCTAAACTAAAGTATGAATTAAATACACTGTGATTAGATCTACCTATTCTTTGACAATGTCAAGTGACACAGGGCAGTAACATTTTTGAGAGTACAAAAGTTGCTCGTACACATGCAAGCTTTGAGAAACACCTCTTCATATGTTAGGTCGGATATTGTAAAAATAGCACAGCTGCACAGGAAGCATGTGGTTATCATGCAGAAAACTAAACTATGTGGCACGGCCATAGTTAAAAGCCAGCAGCCAAGAAACAAAAAAAATTAAATATATACAAAAATGTAGTACTAACATGCAGACAGCTGGGGGATGATCATTTGCAAAGGGAAGAGGGCCTCTCAGTCATTAAACTACTATGGCATCCAAATAAAAATTACTAGGAGGAGGGGTGGAGGCGACTGAGGACATCAGCAAATTTACCGCTGCAACTGCAATGCATGGGAAAGAAAGAATATAAAAAAAATAAATAAATAAAAACACAAACTTATTCGTCATCTCACGGCAGGATGCTTCAAATGGGAAGGTGATTGGAGCCATCATTACTGCCGCTAGTATCTAATGCTTTAGCATATGAGTGGATAATGGGATTTTATACTAAATGTCCAAGTAAAGAGGGGCCTTGTCAGAATACCATGCATGGTGGTTTGATATTACAGTCACATCTTGAACTTGCCGACTTTAGGGCTTATTTACATGTTTTTATTTTACAGAGTACAAAATGTAGGCCAATGTCATCTTACATGGAAGCATTATCTAACTCCACTATCAGCCCTGGGTATTTTTGGTTTTTTTGCATTTCAGTTTACAATTTTATAGTAATCAGCTGTCTGTGTTCACTAAATTCCAAATCTTCATCAGGCTTATATACTAAAACCCTGAATTCTTGCAAGTTAAATCCAAATTTCAAACCTGATGATAAAAAAATAATAATTCTACAGACCAGATTCAGAGCTGGACTATTCAAGTCTCAGTTTTGATGTTAGAGGAAAAAAAATAAAAAAAAAAAAAATAAAAAAAGCTGGAAAATTCTTTCAAATTAGCTTTAAATTCTCAATACAGGATTTTAAATTTAATAAAAATCAGGGTTTACACACTGAAATGCTGTATATTAAACAAAACAAAAACTGAATACACACACACACATATACACATATATATATATATATATAATAATAAAAATTAAAAAAAAAAAAAACACAATCAGAATAGGTTGGATATTTCAGTCTATATTTGCAGTCTGTTTTCCCCATTCAGTATAATTGTGCTATGAATGTATAAACCCGGGGTCAGTGGGGGTTACCCGGCATTATCGCCCCCCTCCCGTATTTACTATAGAGCGATGATGGTGTCTCAGTGCCCGGCCCCGCACACGGTGAGCCGCAGTGAAGGCCAGGGCACGGTGTGCGTCAGAATAGCGGCACGGCAGCCGCAGACAGCGCTCGCTATGGTGGCTGCGTGTCCGGACCCGACGCCGAGCTCTCACCTTTCTGATCCGCCGCTTAATGATGGATTCGGCGGCGAACACCCGCTCCCCGACTGCAGACAGCTCCATGATCGGCGTAGTCCCCCCGGCGAATAGACGAAAAAGCCAGAACGCTCCGCCCCCTCCCCGCCGCTGTCACCTCGGCTCTGGCTCCGCCCACTGCCGCTGTCAACGTCCTAAAACACGCCCCCTCCCGTTTAGGGCACCCACTCTGTCCCCTTCAGCTGCTGCGGATTGGGCGGGTCCAGGTGACGTCACTGCTGCCATTCCTCCGAGCCGGTTCTCTGGCCACGCCCGCCAGCGTTCGGGCGCGAGCCGCGCGCGGCCCCATCCGAAATAGAAGCTGGAGTGCGCGTACCCGAGACCCCGACCATTTTGGCGGGAACTCTGCAGAAACCCCTCACTGTAAAACCCTTTAGTACATGTATCCATACACCTTCTAACTATCACACCATTTACTAGAATAAAGAAATACAGTGATACACCCCTGTTCTTCAGGAATGTTCTGTTACTAGCAGGGATACAACAATATTACAGAATAATGGGTTCATTCACATAGTCAGGGCTATTCAATAAATTAATTACAGGGAATCGAAATCTGAGTTTGGGTGAAAATAGTTAATCGGCAAGAAATAAACTCCATGTTCACCATCCATTTCCAGCAATCTCTGAGAGCCCTCACACACGTATCTACTGCAAAAAACGAACCTCCATATTTAATTATTATTTAAAAAGCGCCAACAAATTCCGCAGCGCTGTAAAATATTCTACTATAAGGTACTTTCCACCCACCCTGCTTTCCGCTTCCTTTATATAGCATGCATTTTCAGTTGTTTGGCATATTCCCATTGTACAGCGCTACGGAATCTGATGGCGCTATGTAAATAATAAAATAATAATACTAATTCACCATAGTCTCTCCATTACCATCAAAATGACCGGCTGCCTGATTGACAGCCAGGGCGTGTAACAAGGTTCATTTATAAAAGTGACAATTCCTATTGAAATCTGCATTTTTACTCACATTAAATAAATAAAAGAGAACGCACTCTTCACACATAAAGCATTTCAGAACGTACTCGAGTTTCCCTGTAGTGAACTTGGTATACAGAAATATTTAGTTTGCATTAATAGATCAGGTAGTGATAAGGGCAATGTTTCTCTTTATTTTTTTGCTACTTTGAGGCTGTTTCATCCTTTTTATATTTGGGTTACTTAATAAATTGTATTGCTTATTTATCTGTTATTTTGAATGTGTTATATTTATGACATTTTATTTATAGAATTGTATTGATGTTATCTGCGGTATTGTTTTGATTTTATTTAGCAAAGTTTATTTAAATGAGGTGAAATCAGCCTCTTATAATATGTTTTTATCAGACTTACAGAATTTTGGAACAAGCTTATCTCTCAAAAGCTAATTAGGTCTTGATAAAAGTCTCTCAAAAGCATTATCATGTTGAATTATTATTATTATTATTTAAAATCTTGGAGTGTGCAACTTCTTGGATAGTAAGTTTGCTGGCTTGAAGTAGAAGCACTGAGATATTTAAAAAATTATAATTGTCTATAAATATATGTGTTACTGGTTTCTATTCCCCTTCTGTGGATTTAGTTTTTCTTGTTTGGTTTTCTTGCGGTTTTGTTTTTCTTTCCATTCAATGCAAGTTATATTTTCCTTTATGTCTAAATTTTTATGATCAATCCCCTCAGCTGCGTGACCTTTTCGCTTTCGGTGGTCGAGTGGATATTGTGGTGGCCATCTTGTTTTGGTTGGCGATCGTCACAGTTGGCAACTCCTGTGCATGCTGAGTGGTAATAATGCTCACATGCTCTATTGGGATTCTCTGTTTTGTGGTTTTCCTTTCTGCTGAAGGGAAGGATGGGAAAACATGTTCTGACAGATTTAATCTCAGTCATAGAGGTTTTCCCAGAGTCCAGACAGCACAGAGTTTGTTTAGTCTTAAATTTTATATTACAGTTTTTGTATTTTTTTTGTCCCCAGTTGGCTTTCTTTCCAGCTCAATTTATTATAGAAACTGTAGTTGTTAATCATTTAGATTCTGAAATTGCTTTAATATAATGTAGAAACCTGAATTGTAAAAAACAAACAAACCAGAATAGCCTAGACGAGACTATAGCTAAATTGAAGAACTTTTCTATATCAGCACTTTTTGCCTAAATTTTGATATTTAATTCTCAAGTCAGTATAATTCACTGTTTGGTGAATAAATGAAGATGTATTTAATGGTGTGTAGAAATTGGATGATATTATCAACAAAAAATTACAGGCTATTATTGATGAAAAAATGAATAATACTTTTATTTCTGCATTTTTACACACAATGCGTAATATGCAGGTGTTAAACATAGTTGTATACTATGGCTTTAACCCAAGCCAATGTGGGAAATTTAAATAGGAAATTGCTTCCCACTTCACCTTCCAAATTATTTTGGTCTTTTTTTTTTTTAAGCTTTAAAAATGAAGTGCAAAACTCAACAAGGCCACCCAGAAGTGTGAGCACTTAAATGAAGGTCCAGAATATCCCTCAGGGATTATGAAAAATAATGGAATACTAGTACTTGGTCCTTTTCCAAATTATGACTCTGCCTTTGTTACTACCAGTCGTTATTAGGTCATGCAAGGAATCATCTATTAAGAATCAATAAGAAGCATTTTTTATATTCTTAACAAGTTGAAGAGTTTTTCTGATGAGCTATCTTAGTCCATTAGGCAGTGAGACTATCCAGAACATTTCTTTTTGTTTTGTTTCTAATTACAGTATTTTTTACATTTGTTTTTTAAATACGTGGAAGCATACACAACAGTTAAAATGGAATCAATGATTAATGATATAGGTAAAGCGTGTTTTACTGCCTAACTAGTGGGTTAAACAAGTCACTTAAGATGTAATCACCCAGTGATAGTTAACTTTGTCAAACTTAACATATTGAAGACACTAACTGACATAAGCAGTTGCATGTGGCGATGGGGCTAGAAATTGCTGCAGTTAACTGTGGTTTATCAGTATACTGTCAACAGTACAACTCAACTACTAAAAGAAGAAATACCCCAATTAGAATATGGTGCCAAAGTAAACCTGAATAAAGTACTAGTTAAATGAGAATCTCCGGTCTGGAAAAATGATGCTGAAATATTTGGTTTCCAAATACCACTGATGGTTTCCTTTTGTCAGCTTGGTCACCAGCAAAGGGTACAGTGTTCACACAAATACATCAGGTGTTTATTGCCATCTTTGTACACCTCATTCTGGCAAATAAACTCTCTTTTCCCCACGAGAATGGGCAATATTGGAGACCAAAGAGCTATTGTAAACAATCTGCACAAAACATTGAGTAGCAGACATGCTCAGTTTTTAGTTTAGTTTAGTTAGTCTAAAACACAGACAGTAGAATTATAGATACATCAAGACGCCCTTAATATTTCAATATTTTTCCAAGGCGCACCAAGGTAAAATAATTTCCTAGGTTGTATATATGCACAGCTGTACTGGGCCCCTACTCAGGAAAAATAATTGCTGTTCAAGCGCAGATCCAGAACCTAATCTCGGGGGGGCACTGGTAGATTATTTAAAGAAACAATCCAGGCACAATAACCACTACAGCACTTTGTAGTGTTTATGGTGCCAGTAGTGCCCTTCCGGAGTAAGTAGTCAAACTGTTTAAGAACAGTTTGACAACTTACCTGGGTTCTGCCAGGATAGGGGTTGTAGTAGGGGATAGGGGCAGTAGTGTGTGTGAGGGGTGCAATATGTGTGTGTGAGTGGTGAAGTGTATGTGTGAGTAGTGGAGTATGTGAGGGTGTGAGGGTTGCAGTGTGTGTGTGCATGCGTATGTGAGGTACAGTGTATGTGTGTGTGGGGTGCAGTGAGTGTACAGGGGTGCATTGTGTTTGTAAAGGATATAGTGTGTGTGAAGGGTACAGTGTGTATATATGTGGGGCAATTTGTGTGTGAGGGATACAGTGTGTGGGGGGGGGGCAGGTTGTATGAGGTGTACAGTGTGTATGTGAGGGGTACTGTGTGGGGGGTCAGCTTGTGTGAGGGGTACACTGTGTGTGTTTGGGGGGCAGTGTATGAGGGGTGCTGTTTGTGTGTATGGAGGGGCAGTGTGTGTGTATAGCAGGTAATTGTGGGTACAGTGTGTGGGGAGGCAGGTTGTATGAGGTGTACAGTGTGTGTGTGAGGGGTACTGTGTGGGGGGTCAGCTTGTGTGAGGGGTATAGTGTGCAGGGCCGGTGCTTGGATTTTTAGGTACATAGGCGAAGATGCATTTTTCCGCTTCCCCCCCCAAAAAAAAACATCTTCACCTATGTGTCTCTTAACCAGCCCCTCTCCCCTCCCCGACCATTAGTGGTCCCTTCCCTTCCCTGTCCCTTAGTGTTCTTCTCCCCTCCCCCCTCTTTTCCCTGTCTCTTGGTGTTTCTCTCCCATTCCCTCCCTGTCCCTTGGTGCACCCCACACCCCTTTAGTGGTCACACTCCCCTTCCTGGTGTGCCTCCTACCTCTATTGTTGCATTGCCGAGTGGAGCAGATCCCCTAAAGGAGCTTCAGTTTTCTGTACCTGGCCGGACTGACAGGGAGTGCTCTCTCCGTGAGCACCTCCTGTCAGTCTGGCCAGGTAAAGGAAACAGAAGCTCCTGTACCGCGCTCTGCTCCGCTACACTCTATACACACTGACAGTCACACACTCAATGACAAACACACAGACGTCACTGACAGACAAAGACTCATTGATCTGACACACACTCATTCATTGACACTGACAGACCCACACTGATTGACACTCATTGACAGACACACTGATAGTCACACACAGACTCAATGACAAACATACTCTCACTGATTTGACAGACACACACTCATACACTGACAAACACACTCATCATACACTGACAGACACACTCATACACTCACAGCAGTGTGTGTGTATAGGGGGTAATTGTGTGTGTACGGGGCAAGTTGTGTGTGATGGGTACAGTGTGTGGGGAGGCAGGTTGTGTGAAGGTTACAGTGTGTGTGAGGAGGCAGCATTTGTGGGGGGGGCAGTGTGTGTGAGGAAT